AGTTTCATCCTTACTCCGTCTATAAGCATGAGCTAACTTATTTAATATTTTACATAGTGTTCACCACATAATCTATTTGGCCGAGATGATAATTTTGTATATCATTATACAATTTCTTATTTTACTTCTTCAGGAAGAATTTAGTTGGTTGTACCACATCTCACCAACAACTTTAAATAATGAAAATATTTATCATTTAATTATCTTTCATCTCGGGTACTCGAGTCCATCCAACACTTTCACATATGACTCAATAGTCATTGTAATAATGTTGCCATAAATATTAACTTGCGGAATCATTGATAATGAGAGAACTTATCTAAATAAACATTTGGGTCTCTGCATAAACCCATGAGCATAATCTCGCTATATTCACATCACACCACCACATCACATGTTTCATATAAATATTCATTATCCTTCTGGGATATGCTATCCTCCTGGGATATATCGTGTAGCGAGTGAAAGCTCTGCCTCAATTTTTCTTTCTATCTCAATCAACCTAAGTGCTTCTAGCACTTTCATTATTCTGATCCGGATCATTATATGAGATAGTAAAGACTTCACATAGGCAAGTATGTTGTCGACAACTGATATTCAACTTATATTTTTCTCTCAACCATATATTATACTTCATATTTACTAGCCATATTTATAATCATTTCCCATATATCTAATTTTGGCATTTCCGCATTTCCAGTACTATAATGGTTTGTTGCACGTGCAAGATGTACTGGATCAACTCTTCAGGAGATTCTTATAATGGAGTGTTAATTCTTTCCGCGGACTTTCATACATCATATTGATTATATCACCTTATGCTTCTAGCATCAAGGAGTCAATCATTCCCTAGGGAATTTGATTACTTTGTGGTACATCTATATATTCACAATTGGTCACTCCATTATTATTATAGATTTCGCTTGGCAGAAATATAATATGAACTTCAAGTTCGATATTTATTGCGTGGTTTCAAATAATTTATATTTCACATATTTCACGGCATTAATAAACTTATGCTCATATCTCCCCCTAATGTCGTGAAATCGTCTTCATATATTATGCAAAACACGTACCAAATAATAAATTGATCCCCTATAATGGCCTCTAGGTATTAAAAATTTGACGGAGTATAAAAATCATAGCATACCTAGTTTGTAATATAGGCCCATAAAGGTACGAATTGGTGGTGATAAAAAAATGGTGCATAACAATAAATTGCAGATGGGAAATGTTCGATTCTCCACGCATTTTAGGGGAAAATTATCATAAATAATTGCCCAATATGATCCAACTGCTCATGCTCATTATCAAATATATAAGTTTGGCATCAAAGTATAATAATCATTTCTAAGTGAACACTATATGCTTCAGGCACTACAACTGTACTTTGCTTGTGAGCCTTTTATTGTAGCTATCAACAATATAAGTCAGTGGTATGCATTCTATAAAATATACAAGCAAACATAAATAATTTGAGAAAACTTGTATATTTATTCAATCTTGGGAACATTCTTGTTTCATAATTTAATCAGAGTATATTCAATATGCAGAGGTGATCTAAACTTAAAAGATCATGAATTTATCCAAAAATCAACAAGATTATCTACTAGATTAATCTTTCAAGGATACTGGCTAGATAATTTTTATGCGATTATTATACTGGTCAACCGAACCAATCATTCAGGGATATCCAAATCTAGGTCAATAAGGTATTCAAATTCACTAGCCATACATTAATTATATAATCCTTCTGGGAACTCAAATATATAAGCATAAAATTCAACAGGATATTTGCTCTGCAATTCATCATGATAGGATTAAAAAAATAATAATAATAAATAACTATACAAGTTGCATACAATTCATTTGGTTCATCAGTCAATTAGACTAAAGTTGAAGACATTCAAATTGATTTAGGCTCAATAACTTTGGATCACGTCAATACTCAATACATAAAACAACGGAACAAAATATGCAACTATTATTTTTAAACTAAATTCATGTTGTAAGTGCATATTTTGATAGCTTCACCATATATATTCCAAACAACACACACTATTCACATGTTAAAATTAATCCACATATGCTTCATGAGTAATCAGATGCATGGACAAATTAATAATATATGTGGACATTTTTATTTTATAACTATTCAGGAGTATGACAATTGAAGTATGAGAGATTTCATTACATAAGATATATAATATTTTTTTTTCCATTCATCATCGAAAATAATTCTTACCAGAGGATAATGTCTGCTACATATATATTACGTGCGCTACCACTTTCAAATCTTAACAAGTAATGTGAAAAATGATATGATATATGCAATAAGAGATGTTCATATACAAATAAGGACAATTAAGTCAAGGAAATATATAGTCTTATAGAAAATACATAATTTTCTATCATATATCTCACATAAAAAAAATTATACTTTTGTATATGTGCTTCTGGCACTAATACAATCTCAATAAACTACTTTTATATCACTATTCGTAATATATTGTGTCCATGAGTATTGATCTGGTTGGATTTCGTTATTCTCATGTATTACTTCAGGAATACAAACTATTCATAACAAATCATAAAACATTCGATAGCATCTGAATTCAAAATTAGTCATCAAGACTTACTCACAATGTAATTATTCTTTTATTTCGATACTTGTATCGGTGTTGATCCTTCAGGGAGTATATCAAAACTTTATTTTGAATTATGAGAGATACTTACATCGACGTTGATCCTTCGGGGTGTATAAAAGAAATATTTTTGTTAACTTATAAAAGATCCTTCAGGGAGCGTATAAGAACTTTATTGTCAACTTACAAGCTATCGATAAATAAAATATTGATTGAATCTTAGACATGATGCATTGTTTTAATCATTCTATCCATTAATGTTTAATATTAGTGTCCTTCTGGGACTACTAGTATTAAATTGAATCTTATATATTTAGAGTGATAGATATTCTTTATATAATATTCCATTATTTTCATAATTGCACAATTCTATCTTCTCATCCAACCTTATTATAAAGATGATCATAAACTGAGCTTTGTAGCATCAATTATATATATCCAATATTTTCACTATTTTTTTTCTCACTCTCATATACAATAGACATACTTATAATATCATATGAATTTTTATAGCACTAAAAACATTAAACAGAAAACTTTTCAAATTTTCAAATCATGCAAGTGAAACTATAATCTTGCAGATTATATAATACATCCTTCGGTCCATAATATTCAAACGAACATATAATAATTCAATAATAGCCAAGTTTCACCCACATATATGCATCTCATGCAAGATCATGTATTAAAAATTTTAAGTACATAGATGCTCAATAGATAACCAAAACATATTTTACAACTCAAATATTTTAACTTAAATATATATATATTCCAAACCTCACTTGAACATTATTATAGTCTGCATCT